TGAAGGCACAGAAAGTGATCACATTGTTTCTTCATATGAGTCTCTTAATTAAACCACGTCTATGCAAAGCCTGTCAAATGAACATTATTCCCCAAACATCCAAATCCCTGTAACTGGTCTTGTCTAGCCCCAAGTGGTGGGTGAGTAGTGCTGGGTTTTGTTTGGTTGTGGGGTTTCAGGTCTTGGGGTTAAGATAGGGATGTCATCCAGAGGAACCTGGACAGACTTACAAAGTGGGCCCACAAGAACTTGATGAGACGTTGCACTTGGATTAGGGCAATCCCACATTTGTCTAAAGACTGGGAGAAGAATTCCTTCGGAGCAGCTCTGCTGAGAAGGACTTGAGGGTCCTAATGGACAAAAAGCTGCACAATAGCCAGCAGTGTGTTCCTACAGCCTGGAAGGCCAGTCGTATCACGAGCTGCTTTAAAAAAGGGGCAGCCAGCAGGGAGAAGGATGTAAATGCCCCTCTCTGCTTTTGTGGCCCACACTGTCCTTGTGAGGCCCCATCTGGGATACTGCATCCAGGTCTGGGGCTCTCAGCACAAGGAAAGATGTGGAGCTGTTGGAGAGTCCAGAGGAGGGCCACAGAGATGATCAAAGGACTGAAGCACCTCTCCTATGAAGAAAGGCTGAAGAAGTTGAGCTTGTTTAGCTTGGAGAATTCAGGGCTCCGGGAAAACCTCACTGCAGTCTTCCAGTACTTGAAGGAAGCTTATAAACAAGAGTGAGACCAACATTTTAGGCATAGAGAGAATGCTCACCTTAAATCTTAAAATGCAAACAAAAAATTCAGTGACAGCAGCACAGGGTTTTTGGGACAGGTCTGTGCACTGTGCTTTAAAAAGAGTGCAAGCAAGGGGCACTTCTGTGAAAGTATGATTACTGCTGCACTGAGAACAATTTAACAGTCCAGCTTTTTTATTATTTGATAACACAATGATTTAAGTCAATACCTATTTGAGTGAATCATAGCAGGGCATAATCTGCAGTAGTACTTGTACTATGAACCCAGTAGAGCTGATAAAACACTACGTGCCTCTACTACTTCAGAAGAAAGCTACAGCACAGCACGGATAAGCACTGCGGGAAGGCAATGCGGAACGCAGGAGTGCCACACGCTGAGCATCTGCCAAGGTCACACCCGGAGCAACTCGGGGCAAAGCGAGCCCGGAGCCGCGGTTCCTCACTGAGGGCTCTCAGCCGGCAGTCACCCCGTGCCCGCGCAAACGCCGCTCAGCGGACAGCTCGGCTCCCAGCGAACTCAGCACTTCCGCGCGGAACCCCCGCGCCGGCCGCTCCCTCAGCGCACCCAGGTGCCGCAGAGCGCTGCGCTGCCGCCGGGCCCGGGCAGCCGACGCCGGCGGGTACGACCCGGCATGGCCGCTGAGGGGCCGGAGCCCGCCGCAGGGAAAGCCCCAGGAGCCGCCCGGCCACCACGGGCACCGCTCAGGCGGGAAGCACGCCACAACTCTCCCAAACACCCGACCGCAACCATCCGCTCCGCTCACCGGCCTCCACGACGACCGGGCCTCCAACCTTCTCAACCCGGCACCGCCGAAACGTCAGGCGCCGCGATGACGCCATCAGCAACAGCCGCCGTCCTCCTGCGTGCTGACGTAGCGCAGCGGGCCGGGTCTATGGATGGCAGCGGGACTACAGCGCGCCTCGGGAACGGGGTATTCGTTCCGACAAAGCTCCTAAAATAGCAACTGCTATTCACATTCCCCTCTTTCTCTTCTGCAGAATTCTGAATCTTCTGCGTAATTCTGAATACACGCTGCCTTTCCTCAACTTGTGTCTGCCAGGCTCCTGCGAATCGGCTTGTATGTCCTCACATCGCGGTGAGGCAGTGGCACGAGCTGCACAGGGAGGTGGTGCAGTCACCGTCCCTGGAGGTGTTCGAGAGCCGTGTGGATGTGGCACTGACGGACATGGTCAGTGGGCACGGGCTGGTGGTTGGACCAGATGGCCTGAGAGGTCTTTTCCAACCTTAATGGTTCTGTGATTCTACGTTCTGCTTCTTGAAATTAGCAGAACTTCTGTTTAAAAGGAGAATGCAAATTTGTCTCTACTCCCACCTGGAAAAGCACTACTGCCATTTAACTCAGTGCTTTATTTAGCCGGAAAAAAAAAAAAAAAAAAAAAAAAAAAAAAAGAAAAAGCATTACCTTGGAAGATGCAAAATTAGGATTGCTTATAATCAACACAAACTGTAAATTTCACAAGATCTCCCATATTAATACTAAACAGGGAACATTCAGTTGGGGCTAGTGCTTCTTGTGTAGCTGTCCACTGAACTACACACCCTCAGACATACAAACATGCAGTTTACAAACTATTCCTCTTAATTACTGGATTCCATATAATTGTGTCAATAGCGTTTCCAGTCACACCTGTGCTTTGAAGTGTCATGAAACACATCTGAGTAAAATACTGTATGTAGATAAAATACAAACTGCTCAACTCTTTACAAGGGTAAACGATGGCAGGACAAGGAGAAATAGTGTTGAGGGAGGGAAGATTTAGATTGGATATCAGGGGGAAGTTCTTTACCAAAAGATTGGTGAGGTGCAGGAACAGGCTGCCCACAGAGGTTGTGGAAGCCCTGTCCTGGAGGACAGGGAGGTGTTCCAGGCCAGGTTGGATGGGGCCCTGGGCAGCCCGGTATAGTATTAGATATGGAGGCTGGCAGCTCTGCATGCAGGAGGGTTGGTGCTTGATGATCCTTGAGGTCCCTTGCAACCTAACCCCTTCTATGAAACTACTTTATTAATTTACATGCTTGTAAAACATTGAGATTTTCCTTGCCAATAAATTTATTATAAAGCTTTAGACGTTGCATCTATATTTATCAAATAGTTTCAGACAAATTCACTCAGATTAGCACTAGTCTAAGTAACCTCTACTCACAATCTACTGCAAGATTCTGCAGTCAGCATTTGCGCTTCAGCTGAGTTCTACTTCATTTCAAGTTCCTTATTTCAGAACAAGAGCATTAGAAGGGATACAGTTTATTAATGAAAAAATATATAAGCTGCAAACAAGAGCTCTGTCTCATCTCATTTCTACAGCTCTCCTTCTTGGCTCAACTCACATCCAAGGAGCTCCTAACTTTGAAAGATATCACACTAAAGCTATACAACAATAGTCTTCAATTTAGAATTTTTTTAATTGCTGCTGTAAGATAGTATGAAATATTGTGTATGTCTTTTTCAAAGTAAGGTGAGATTTCCTTGGCTGAGTCACCCTGAGCCAAGCTGAATGGCCACTAGAAGGATCGGTCTTATTTACTTGTTCAGGTAAGTGAGAAGCCTTGAAATCCTTAATTCTGCTTAACGAACTTGGGATAAAGCTGACCCAGCATTTAAGAACACCACCATCAATTTTTTGAGTAATAAGTAGACTGCCTAGGATTGGGCACAACATCAGAAGTGCCATATCTAGAGGAAGTTGGCTGAGATCGTGTAGTGACAACTGTTAAGACTGCTCAGTTTCTCAGATCTTGCTATTAACAGTTGTAACTACATCCTCCCTATCATCTCCCTAGCATACAAGGGAATCATCAACTACACAGAGACAAGATAGAGGACAGGCCAGGTATTCTAGAAATATAGGAGGGCACACAGAATGCAAACGTGAGCTAGCTGCAGAAAACAGTAAGGTGTTACAAATTGAAAGTCAAGACTGTATATGCATTACACCTGTAAGGTATACCTACAGGACAGTACATGTTTAAGTAGAGACCACCCAGAAAATAATATTCAAAATTTAATTTGAAGTATCTAGTTGCTTTTATGATGAGTTGCTTCATAAATCAAAAACAGATGATCTTCTGAGTCATTGTTTCTACCTTCCAATAAATCCATGGTTGTTTGTACATCTGTAGGGGGCTTTAATCGGGTAACTGCTTTCATTTTCACATTCTGTATTTCCACACCTGTACAAGCTCAGTGGAAACATGTAGCATATTTTACTTATTTCCAAATGGAAACAATATCTTGCTTCAACTTTAATGATTCTTCACATGGAGCTTTGTAAGATTACTGAATTTAAAAGGTCTGTTGTTAAGCTGAGGTGTACAGAATTAAGGATTTTTCAGACAAGGAGACAGGACAATAATATTTAATATTATACTTAATATTTGTCATTATTATCTACATTAGCACAGTAGAAAATAAATTCAATAATTTCCACACTTCTCTTTTAACTGAATAGCTAGGGAGTTATTGAACAAATTAATGAAAACTCTGCAAATTATTATTAAGCATTCTGCTCATCAAGTTATCTTCACTACTGGATTCCCAATAAATATTTTATCCTGCATGACCAGGTTACTTCCCAAGGAAAAAAAATAATCCATGAACCAAAACAAACAGTGTTTTGTTTACCTAGGATTCAAGAATTAGCAAAGATACATGTCATACTACTTTAGAAATGACTTTTCATCAGTGCTTATTTCAAAGTGAATTGCAATGCCATTTCATTATCCAATAGTCACATAACTGAACTCAATAGGAGTTACGTGCTAGTAGGAAAAATAATAAACAGTGCAGAGAAAATTTTGCTTTGGTTTTGTTAACCAAAACTTGACAACTCTTCATACAAGTGTAATTTCAGTAACCATCACTGACTTTGAAGGGGCAGATCAAAATGCCTACTAGTAGGAAGCTATTTTAGATACTCTTTTTTCCTTACATTCCTAAAACAGAATTGTACAGAGCCTGTAAGTGGAATACAGCCCAGACTTGCATCAAAACACAAATTATGAACAAGCTCTAGTGTTGAAGAGACAAGAAGGGCCACTGTCAGAATCTATGAGACCTATTACGTTGTCTGGCAATCAGCAGCCAAAAGTTTAAATACTGAATTCTTCCTGCTGGACTAATTTACTGCCTTTCCAAAGTTTCTTGTTCCGGGCACAGCTTTTTAAGTCTGGTCAATAAGGGATTTTGTTGCTTGGCATAATGTAAGTAAGACTCTCACAAATATGCTGCTACTCAGGTAAGAAATCTGATATTTTATTTTCTAATAAACAGGGAAGTGCACAAAGCCTTCAGGATATCCTCTGACTTAATGAAAAAAATATGCATTATATATGCTCCTCGGTGAAGCCCATCAGCAATAATGCAGGATCTTTTTTTGTTAGTTTAAATCTAGGTAGCGTGAGATGATGTAAACTTCTAGTCATGCATCTTAGAGTGTTTAGTGAAATATTGGTGGAGTCTGTTTAAGAGCAGAGTACATATTCGTGCTCTTTAAAAGATGGGTGAGGATTCCAAACTGGAAGCAAATAGCAGTGGCATCACAGGAGAACAGTTGGGGAGCCTCAGTTTAGTTTTAGAAGAAAATCTGAACATAATTGATTTTCACAAACACTGTTACAGATTTTCTCCAGGGAACTAAGTTTGTATCTTTTATACAGTGTATTCACTTAGATCTAAGTGAGAGTCACCATATGGTTAGGATTCAAAATTTCAATCCAGTAGCCATCAGGATCCTGAACAAATGCAATTCCTTTCAATTTACCTATTAGGAAAAAAATAGAAGGAACGATGAACACAAGGATAAAGTCAAGGGCACATGAATAAATCTTAACATCAAATGCAGTTACTTACAATTTTTTTTTCTTCTGTATGAGTATTAATTCAACTTTAGACAGCTACTTCTGAAAACATCCAAATTAGTGTTTGATCACAACTAGGCCTTGGTGTGTGTGTGTGCTGAATTGTTAATCTGATAATTAATAAAGCTGCAATTTAAAGTCATTATGAAATCTTATCTTTTGTTGATTTTATTTTTTTTTTTTTAACCCCTGCAAGTGTTCAACCCTTAATTTTGGAAACGTACTTTTGTGTTCCAGGATGTTTTGGCATGTTTTGCTAAGCTGTTCTGCCTTTTAAAGTTCTTTGTTCCTCAGCCCTGTTCATTTCTGCCTACACAGTAAAGTTCTGTGCTCTACTAGTTTTTATTTGGTCATTCCCCACTCCCAATCTGGATTACAGTACACATTTGCATTACTATTTGAGATAGAAGTGCACTGCAGGAACGTTTTAAACAGTTGGAAAAAATATTCTTCATGAAAATAGGGTCCCCTAAAGTATTCAACAGTGAATCACGACAGCACAGCTTAACATTTTATCTTAAAGAGTTAGCCAATCAGTTTCCATTTTACTTACCCTATTACCCTGTCTACTGTAAAAAAAAAAAAGTTCATTATTATTACATTCTAGTTACAAAAACTTCTGAGAGAACAGCAGCTGTGATTCACTAATGCAGGGGAAAAAAAAATACCATGAACTTTCTCATCCAGCCCCAAAACAATAGATATTAAATCCAAAACCTCATCATCTTTGACATTTGCTGCACAAGTTTAAATTCCTAACATTGAAAACTGCTTTTGCTTTTTTTTTTCTTCTATAAACAGGACAATTCTACATTGTCAGTTTTGTGCATTTTGTAAGGGGGAGCATGGTTAGTAGGTTCTAGCACATCCTAAGGAGTGACAGCTATAGAAATGTATCACTGAGCTGTCTAATACAAAAATCTACCAGGCACAATATATTAAAAGCAAACAACTGGAAAAGGCAAAAAAAAAAAAAAAAAAAAAAAAAAAGACTTGCATTACTGGCTAAGACTTACCATCATCTGGTTTCTTCACAAATTTCACTCCTAGTTCTTCAAACCTCTTACAAGCTTTATTGACATCAGGGACAGCAATTCCAATGTGCCCTGGGAAACAGAGTAAAAACAGTAAAATACACTAAGTATTTCTATGCATTTGAGAAAAAAAGTTTGCTCAGCATTTCATCTTCTGCAATAAGTTCACATGCTTACATAAGAGATATAACAAACTCAAGAAAATCATTTCTTACAGAAAGAAGAGCATTCCAGATTTTAACAATACCCTCCTTGACAAAATTGGCTTTTTAATAATGATTTTACAATCAGAACTTTTCAGTTACAATAGCTCATGTTATTTGGATAAGAAGATTATTTCTTCCTACTGCAGATAAGTTATTCAAACTGTTTTATCTGTATTCCCCTTCTAGAGACACATCTACATAACAGGATTTTGTTGCATTTGCTTAGTTCAACAGCACAAGGCATTTATTATTAATGCTGTATTTGTAGATACTAACAGCAGCACCATGCTGAACTTACAATAACTTCAATTTAATATGTCAAGTGGCTATATTCAGTACCAGACTTATTTCACATACAAGTGACCTTTCAAGCACTCAAAATATCAAGTTGAGCCACTTAAATGCTATCCTTGACGCTACAGATAAATCCTCCTTCCAGCTCAAAACTGGTAACCGGTGCATTATAAAATACAAATCCAAATTCAAAAATCAATCTGAACATCATTATAATCAATATGCAAGAGCAATTATTGAACTTCACTGAGTGGTTAGTATTAAGATGTGTTAAATTAAATTAAAAAATTAGCTTTATAACAAGCGTAATTGTGGTTCTTCACTCTGAAACATTTTTTTATTTACCCATTTTCATGATGCATACCATGCATACATGCTGGAAGAAGTAAGATAAAGACACTGGTAGTACTTACACTTCAAAGTAGCTTACTAGAAAAGTCTTTTCGTCTATACAAGTTTTACAAGTTTACAAATCCCCCATGAAATAAAACCTTAACCTTTGCATTGATTTCATACAGATGTTTTATAAAGAGAAAACTGAAACTCCATTTTTCCCCTAATACATGTAACTGTAATACATATAACTGTAATCAAAGCACAGTAAAACAACGCATAAGAACAACATGCACTAAACAAAAAACCTACCAAATCCTCGGGGATCTGAATTGCCATTATGATAGGACTGCTTTTCATCATTCTCAGAGCCCCAGTTGCTGTAAGAAATAATTATTATACACTGAAGAAAAGCATCAAAATTAATTCCTTAGTGTTTAGCTTCCTCAGAAAGCCAATTTGTTTCTTTTCAAAACCATAGAACTTCAGTTGTTGGCTACATTCATTAAACTATCAACACTTTCCTTTAACACAGGTCCTGGAAATAGTCTTCAAAGTAGACATAAGGGCTAATTCAGTCTAATTCCTACCCTTCTCTAGTACTCATGTTCCACATTTGAATGAGTCTGAGAAACGCTCTTATCCAGATTGCAAGGATGGCTGTGGTGCATGAGTGAATTTACATATTAATCTAGATGCAGAACAGTGAAGTAGCTAAGCACAGTGGCAGGGTATTTGTGAGAATATCTCTATCTCCACACTTAATTATAATCATTAGTATTAACAAGATTGTCCAATTCATATGAAGTGTTTTGACCTCTTTTGATAAGCCATCAAAAGCAATACTTAACCCACTACTTTAGAGGCAACTTCAGAGGATACAAAAGAAGTTCTAACTGCATCACTTTTGCCCCAGATGAGCAAACACTATTTGGTACTTATATGCTACTATTCACCTTGTAGTAGCTCTAGAAAGAGTAAACTTGCCAAGTATCTAAGATCTCAGCCTATTTTAAGACTTATTATATAACACTAAAGATGCTTCCACAGAAATTACTGCATTTCTTTTCAATTCAATGAGACGTAAACTCATCCACTTCTCTTAGATGTGGTTGTCATCTCCTACTGTATTAATACTTACTGTGTCAGTTCAAGTGTAGCTTTTCTGGAGAAGGTCCAAGGTGTTCTCTCAGCTTTATCTTTTGGGATATCGTTTTTATTTTCATAACCCAGGAAAAACAGTGAGAACTTCATGGGAGGAAAGTCAAATTTCTGAAGCAGTCTACATGGCAAAAATTATTTTGAAACAGTAACTAAAAAAAAAAAATAACCACACAGCCTGAAAATACAAGTTGCTTCCCCTGCGGAACAATTACAGCTGCGATTTTTATCTTTCTGACTGCAATCCACATCTTAAAATACTACATTTTGAATTCTCAAATAGAAACATTCCAGCACACATTATAAACCTCTAAAAGCTAGAAGAATCAGATGCTTATAGGCAATCAGTAAGTGAACAGCAAAACCAGAACAGAGGCTCAAGTCTGAAGCTGCCATTTTGTTACTTGTACAGATTTTCTCAGGAAGGACAAACAGATAATTTATGTTCCAGGTTACAGAAACGATTCCTATTTAAAAGCATCACAAAAGTTACCAGTTGAGAGTAGAACCAGTGAGGTAAAAGCTGTACAAGTTGTACACTGATAATTAGTGACCTACTTAAAAGAGGAGAAAAAAAATTCTAGACAAAGCCACTTTTCATTCATTTGCAATTTAGGCATTCAATGTGCTGTGAAGTTCTCAGAGATTGGCAGGCTATCCAACTTGGCATTAGCAGATAGGTTTCAACAGAACAAAAATACTTTTCATAAGAAACACCCAAAGTTACTGTGGCATACAGCTTCCACTCACGTCATTCCAAGAACTCTTGTATAGAAATCCAGTGACTTCTTAGGATCCTTTACTCTTAACATTGTCTGCTGAAATATAAAATCCTGGAAGAACGAAAAAGAAAAAAAAAAAAAGCATTATTATACATCAAACAGAATTTAATTGTGCACCAACAAAAATATCAGTTAACAATGAAAATCAAAACCAGCAAGTCTAGAGGTAACAAATACAGTACCACATACAACATAAATAACATATTTTATTTTAGAATACTCCAAGTTGGAAGAGACCCACAAGGATCACCAAATCCAACTGCAGCACTACCTAAAAATCAGACCACGTGGCTGAGAGCACCTCCCAAATGCCTCTTGAACACCAGCAGCTTGGTGCCATAACCACTGTGTTGGGTACCTGTATCCTATCACAGCTGCAGGATCCATTACCACCTGAGCCGGCCTCCCCCATGCCACCTGTATAATCAAAATGTTATAATCACAACATAATTGTATAACCAACAGATATCAAGATGTTATAATCACAATATAATCAAGAGAATTAGGCAAAGTAGACAACAATCACAAAAGAGAATAAATGGAAGAGCTTACCCTTCGGCTGAGCTCACCACAAAACACCAAGAGAGGCGATCTCCAGAAGAGATCCTTCCCCACTGGTAGCCAGCTCTTAAATAGGTCCAGGAGGGGTGCAGCCAGGTTCCACCCCTTCCGACAGCACAGTGAATTGCCTTCACCTGTGCTCCTCTGGCTGACTCATGGCTCACCTCAGGTGATCGATCGATCGATCAGGCCGTGACTCAGCAGTTCCCATACACCGCCCCACCGGTTTCCGCACGCCAAAGGGGCGGGGATGCTGGCAGTACCACCACAGCCTCCGCCACCCGCAGCCTAATGGCACCCTGCTCGCCCCCACCAAGCCCACCTTCGTGCTGGGATCCGGCTCCGAGCAGGCGCCATAGGCAGCCTCCTCGCTCAAGCCGCTCGGTTCCGCCATGTTGGGCGCAGAGGAGATGGGAGGAGAGGGCAGTACCAAGGTGGTGCTCCGCCCTACAGTTGCTCGGGTGCGCGCAACGTGGCCTACGCATCTGAGCAGCCTGTAGGCGCGCAAAGGAAACGCTGCTTTGTTTAGCGCTTCTTTCCAGCTGACGGCACTTTCGGCGTTTTCATAGCCCGGTGTTTTACCTTCACTCCATAAATATAAAAACACACCTAACGGGTGGTTTATTCCTTTGGGGAATTAGAGATGTTAGTTTCCATCTGTCTTGAATACTCTGCAAAATATTATTGCTATCATTACTATTAATATCATTAATAATAATAATAAAATTTTTGTTAAGAAAAGCGGGACGGGACGTGGCAGACAGCTGCCCCTCCGCTTTACACCTTCTTCGCGCGAGCAGAGCCGAGCCCCGCGCGAGCAGAGCCGTAGTTGTTACGGGCGCCCCATAACGGCCAACAGCGCAGCAGCGCGCTGTGTCGGCCCGTCCCGGAGGCAGGCTGGCTGGTCACGGCCGGACGGTCGGGGCGGGCACTGGAGCTACTGAGTAACACCGAGGCTTATTTTTCTCGTCTTTCTCTCCCCCTGGTCCTCGTGTCACGTTGCTGCTGCACTAAAAGGGTAAGGAGGAAAGCTGAGAGAGTCATAGACTTGTCAACGGACTGGGGGTGCTGGTGACTGAGGTAACAGTCGTTAGGAGTGATGCAGAATAAACCTCGAATGTGAGTTACAAGAGGAAAGTTGAATGATTTTGTTATTTTGTGCTGTGTTTGAAGTGTATGTCCAAGGGCGTGATGGAAATCAGTGTAGGCAGCCAGCTGGAGCTCATGTTCTGACCTGATGAGTATGATCTTCTACCACACATCCTTACCAGTATAGAATGTATGGTTGGTTATACCTGGTTGGCTGCCTTAAGGCCTCATGAGAACTTCTGTGTAATCTATGATATTGGTTTTAATCTTTATGGTAGTAGTACTCTGAGTTACAATGGCATTTTCAACATTTTTATTTGTTACTCTGAATATTTATATAGGTTATGCACATATTCTAACATCCTTGTGTAACTGAACAAGCTATTTTAAAGAATAAAATTAAACACAAAGACTTCAGGTATAGGTGTAATGATGGTGATAGTGCCTTAAAGATAGTTGTTCAGTCTGTGTGTAGAATGAGAATACTGAATGATGCATTTAATTTTCTGTATATTCAAGAGTGTTAAGATCTACTGAGTGGGATTGATGGCAGCTAGCAAATGCTAGTGGATAAATATGCCTCCCCGTATGAAGAAAGGGAGAGGATATTTACGTAATTCTTTGTAACCCTGAATTACAGGCTTGGGATTCACAAACTAAACCTTTCTTGGGCTTTTCAGATAGTGAAATAGACAGGGGAAGAAAACAGCAGAATTTCTTTTCCATAGCAGCTGACTGCTTAGCAGTCAGTCATGAATATACCTTGCTTTGTCCATTTTAGAAATTCTTACCTGGGAACAATTATTCTGCTAGTACTCTAGCCAGCTTAGGTTACTCACAGAATTAAGAGGAAAGTCTGTCTTTTTTATACTGTGGTGAAGAAGTCTTGATGTGCTCAACACTCTAGGAACTTTTAATATATTGTATAAGACTTCATAAGTCACTACATGCAAAGAGCTCGGTCTGTATGAATTTTAGGGTGCAGCCTTGTCTGTTATTTCTTACCCTCTCAACAGCATGCTTTTAATAATGAAGATCTGATTTTTGTATTAATTTAAATCAAAATGAAACTTATTAAGTAAGACATAGAAATACTGTAGAAATTGAATACTTCCACTGAAGAAATACTACCCAACACCCTCCATCCTACATTTTATCTGAACTTGTGTGTGTTTAGGGTATCATGTATGGTGGGGCATTCTGTATATAGTTCATGATTTATATACACACGCTATTTTTTCCTTTTTTGACTTTTTTTCCTTTTTTGAAATCTTCCTTCTGAAGATTTCAGAATGGAGAATGTGCAAGAAGAAAATAATGAAAATTCCAACACTGGAGAAGATCTGGAGAAGATCACTGGGTCCGGTCAAGTGGCAGCGGATAATACTGGGCAAAATCTCACTACAGAGGATTCTGTGTCTGGCCCTGTTGCACCAGGGGATGCTGAAGACAAATCTGTTCACCATGCTCAACAAGTAGTAAACTCTTCTCCTTCCCAGGAATCTTTTATTCCTGTAACCCGAAGGCTGTCAAGGCTTTACCGGAGCTCTGCTGGAGTTCTGTCCATGCAAGAAATTTTAAAAGAAAAACAGGTTTAGTATTCAATATTAGGTCTTAACATAGAGATAGACATAGAGGTCTTGACATGGTTATTTCTCAGACAATTAATTTCAGTTTAAATGAACTGTTTCTCTTTTCCTTTTATGTTTCCATTTCCTTTTTTTTTTTTCCCACTTTTTCATTTCCTTTCTTTCTTTCTTTCTTTCTTTTTAATTATATTCAGTTTTCTTATTTCAGATAGAAAGTATCTGTCTGTAATGGTTTCAGTATTTTAAGATTTTGTCTTAAAGTTGTGGTAGAAGGTGGCCAAAGATATTAATTGAATAATTTACACTGAAGCAAAGCTGTACCCAGCTTGATTCCTGAAAATATTTATTTTCTGTAGATGTTTTAGCTTGATATTATTACTGATATAGGCTGGCTTAGCAATAGATTATATATAAATATAAATTATATAAATTAATGTAAATATATTAAGGAACATTAATTAATTTAATAATTCAAAATATTTTTGTGAAAAAGAAAACTAGTTAATATGGCACACAAATATGTTAAGATCTACTGTAATATATTTAACATGTGATTCTCCTTGCCATATCCTCTGTTTGCTTCACGCTTTTTAATAATTCATAGTAATTTGCTCTTTGGTGAAAGTACACATACTTTTAAAGAATAAAACAGTTATGGATCTGTAATACAAGACATTCAACCTTAGTTGTAAGTGAAGTAGCAGGATACAGTTATGATCAATTTGTGTATTTTCTGTTTGAAAGATGTTTAATGTTGTAGGCTCGATACAGAGAAGCAAGAGAAAACCGAAGAACAAAAATTGATGCTTCATATAAATACATATTTGAAGTTCTCAGCATCAGGCTAGGTTTAGACTTAACAACTGTGGAAGAATTGATTTTGGATGTCCCTTCAGTGAGTATGTTCTGTGACTCTGTTGAATTTCAATTATTAGTCAAAATATGTAGCAGGTTACCCACTGTTAATCATCATTTAGATCACTTCTACCAAAAAATGTGATAAATAAGGCATGCAGTTCATCTGGAATGATATCTGACTAAATAATTCAGCTTAGTTTCCTAGAAGATTTTCAAGTTTCCCTTAGGAAATAGCAACTTTTTCTTATTTCTTACTTCAGGTAGAGCTTAATTAGTGCTATTATTTTGACCTAGTGGATTCTTGTCATATTCACCAAGTTTCATTCTTTTCAGCCTAGAATTATAATATTCTAAAAATAATTGGTTTTGTTTGTAAGGCAAGTCCTGATTGAAATGTCAAAGATAGTGCAAAAATAAGCGAAACTTCACAGAAATGTTTGAAGGAAAAAAAAAAGTTCTTTTAGGAAAAAGGGAGAAGATGATCCGTATCACCAATGTTGTTACATTTGGAAAGGCCTGCTATATAATTTCCAGTTTTGAGCTCCTCAGTTATTTATAAATGTGTGAAGGTATTCCACAGTGCTTGAACAAACATGATCATTCGGCTTAACTGTTCTTTTAGTGTTGAAACTGAGCATCTATGTTTGTAAAATACAGCCCTTGTCATCTCTGACTGCGTGATGTTTTTGTTGGTTAGAGATTAGACTTGTCTGGTTAAATTTTGAAGGCTGTTATCAACTTTGATTAGATACGTCAACTTCAGTTCTCTGATACAAGCTGAATATATACTCACATTCAAAATTACTGTTCATTGTTTCTTTATTGATATTTACACATCATAAAATAGGTATAATCTTTTTTATTGTTATGCTTACATAATATTGAGGTGCTTTAAGCTTTGTCAGTTAGCTGACATTGCTTTGCTGTTGATAAGTGGAATATAGTTTTAGATCATCCTGACTTCATGTCAAATTGCTGTTCTGCACTGTTTGATTAACTCAGACATGTAAGAATCTTTGGGATGGTGTGTGCTGCTTTCTTGCTTGTTTGTTTTCTTCTTATTTATCACCATTTCAAAACTTTTATGGTTAGAAATTGTCCATTTTTAGTTCATACACAGTTTAGGCCTCTGGGGCATTGTCGACATTGTCTTTTAACAATTCTCAGTTAGGAAATTCCCATATACGTGTAATGTCTCTGACATTTACAAGTTTTATACTTACAACAGTAGCCTGTATGCTGTATTCACATAGCAAGTGTTTGTACCACACGTGCTTGAAACACGCTGCGTTTGCAGAAGCCGTAGGCACAGGGTTAGCTCACTTCTTACCTTATTTATAAAATCATTCAAGACCATGATATATAATTTCTCCTTTTTCTTTTTCCAAATCTTGTTTTGTCACTGACCTTCCAGCACTTTATCCATTTATTTTATATGTACTATATAGTACTAATTGAGGGGGGATTATTTATTTATTTATTTATTTATTTATTTATTTATTTTGCTGTTATAGCACTCATCCCCTATTACCTATAAAAAAAAAATAGAAGTGCAGTGTGCATTTCTAGATCTGGCTTGCTTATACTTCTTTTATTTTTGCACAGCTTTGTCTTCTCAAAGGAGCAGGTTCAAATTACATCCACCTTGTGGACAATCATTTTCCCACCTCTCTTCTAATTCAAATTATATATATGCTTATTTTGTGGGGAAAAAACCCACAAAGTTGCTGATATGAGAAATAACATATCTAGAGTTTTATGCTTTGTGTTTGAATGGGTGATGCTTCTCCAGACATGTTTGCTAGCTAAATTTCTGACTCTGTTTTTAACGGGAAGGAGTTCATTACTTAAGTAGAGAGCCGTTTAGTGAAATAGTTTGAACACTCTTACTGAGTCGATCATTCTTACAGGTAACTATAGAGACTGTGAAAGAAGGTAGATTTTGAACAGATCAGTACAAAGAA